TCAGCATATGGCGTTTCCCCTGCCTTATGGGGGAGGGGAAAAAAGGCAGAGCAAACCGACACTGGGACAGGGTGAAATGATAATAAAATGGTGAAGTTATCCCAGCGGGTGCAAAATCACATGCCGGTGGTTCGTTCGGTGTGTAGGAATCAAATCCAATAAGGAATCGGGAACGACAGAGGCGGCTCTTAGCAAAGCAGGGAGAGTTGAGTGCTGATTAGACGAGGAGAGAGAAAAAGAGGTTTGTGGGTGATTCTGTTCTATTTTGCACCAGTTGGGCTGGGTTAGCACTACGGGAGCAGGATCAAACAAGAACCCAGCCCTTAGCTTATGGAACTCTCTTCGGCCTGGGTCCCAAAAGTGCAATCCACATTTGGGAAGAGGTCAGCTTAAAGAAGTGCCATGCCAGAGTTGGGCATGTTTGGCTAGCAAATGGGGTAACTGAAAACAAGGGAATCAAACTGCCTCTCCTTCGCTGTGCTGTTTGAAGACACCTTGTCGCCTAATGTACTTCTGAAATCAAAACCAAGTGGGAAGAAATGGCAGCAACTAACAATGAGAAATCAAAGGGTGCTGAAGGGCTGGTTGGTTTGTCAGCCCTCCCCAATTCTGCCCTCCCTTTTTATCACCCAAACAAGCGTGCTCAGTTTATTCCTGAGGTTCTCGGCCAGTACGTTCCATCTGCTTTTTCTTTGTATGTATTCTTGGATACGGGGGATGACATTTGGAGGATACAAGGCTGAATGTCCTGGATCAAAGAGAAGCATGGAGATCGAGAAAGAGATCTGTAGTCTGAAGCTCTCTGAGATGCTCCTCCCCTTTCTATTCAAGGCAAGAGCGATTTCAGGCTGGGAGAAATGATACAGCTTTACTACATCTCCATCTTTTTTAAATGATCAGCTTTATTAAAGAACATCCCACCCTCAGGAGGGCTCCATCTCTTCAGAGCTGCCCAGGGCAGCCTCACCACCAAAGCTCACTTCCTGCTGACGCTCTTCCTCCCCTTCCCCTTCTTCTTCCTTTTGGTCCGCAATAGTGACCTCACCAGGTAGCCCTTCCACACGGCTTGGATAAGAGTAGCAGCTCGGGCCAGGATGGCGAGCTCCTTCTCATCTTTTTCCTTCTGCTCCTGCTTCACCTTCCTCTCCTCCAAGATCTGGCCGTATTCCTCATCCAGCCGGGCAAATTTCTCCCGCAGCTCTGCCAGCTGCTGCTTCTCCACCACGTAGACCTCCTCAATCTCCTCAATCTCTTCCTGGGGAGAGAATCAGACTGTAGCGTTGGAAGGGACCCCGAGGATCATCCAGTCCAACCCGCTGCAAGGTGCAGGAAAGCCACTAGAACCATCCCTGAGAGGTGGCTGTCCAACCTCTCCTTAAAACCTCCAGAGATGAAGAACGAACTGTCTGCAGGTAGACTGTTCCACCATAATCAGAGAGCAAACCCCATCCCATTCTAGCACTGAAGATGTTATCTAGCCGGGTAATGAAACGTTTGCAAGAAAACAATCAAGCTCAGAGAACCCCAAGGACTCCACTGTCCCACTGGTGTACAGGTCTTATCGTAAGGAAATGTTTCTTAGAGTTAATCAATTCTGAGTAACTGTAACTTCTCATTATTCCTAGTCCTAATTTCTGTGGCCGTGGGAAATAATTCATCCTCCCTGGAGTTTTCCTCTGTGTACCTGAACATGGCTATTGCACCTTCCCCCAGTTATCTTGGTGCTTAAATGGAGTTACTGATGGACCACAATGGGCTTGACTGACTCATAATGCTACACCATAAACTATGGTTTAAAAACCATACCGAATTGAATTGGCCCAATTCAATAAACCAATCCAAATGAGCCATGTTATTTTAACACTCTGCGAACCTACCTCCCGGGGGTAGGTTTATGCCAGTCATCCCAGTTTGGTCACTGCCAGTTTGACCTGCTGGGGCTATTCCTCAGTTTGTTTTCTAAATTGGTGTGGCTCTTTTTCCCACTGCACACCAACAAAGGATGCTGAGCATCCGTCCAGTTCTATTACATCGCGACACAGGATAGAAGAGGAGAAAACTTGGAGGGAGGAAGAAAAAAGACATTTTCTTGTGCAAAACTCTGGCCAGATCCCCAGTTCCATTTCATAGTGGTCCTGGGAACTGCCCTCTAGTTTCCTTTGTGCTGAGGAAGGTCATTCTCCATAGGTTGGCTCCCAAATATTTGCATCTGATACAGTAGTAACATTCTGACTGCTCAGCTAGGTGATTTGGGAGGTCAAGCTGGCCCAACATATTGTGTTCCATCTCTACCACTTCTAGCAGAATATTGGGGCTGACATAGTTTCCTCATGAGGTCCAGGTAACCAAATCGTACTGCCCTGTCCAGCCAGCTGAGCCTTTCCAATGAATGTGGGAGGGCGGTGATATCTCACTAATGTCATAATCTCAGTGGTAGGAAAACTGTAATGGAGAATCATCCTGCATTTAAGACCTGGAAAACCTGGCTGATTATCGTTGCAAATGGTCTCTCAAGAGGAAAATGAAATAGGAAAAGAAGAAGCTCTTATAGTACCTGCTTTTCGATCATCTCTATATCGTATTTTTGGACCCAATTTTCTATCTCCATTTCCACCTTGTATTTCTTCTAAAGGAAATAAGATCAGAGTAAAATGTGTCAGGCAGCAGAAATGATGATTATTTGCCAGAGCATCACAGTCATCTTAACTTAGGCTCAGAGGTTATCAGGGTGTGGTAACCAACCAGTGGCAATCCTAACCTGTTTTAAGATGCCCTGACTCTGTTATGTATGTTATGTATGAAGATAACATACAGACAGTGTTCACACAACATGCTAAACCATGGTTTATTGAATGAATCCAGGTAGTTGATTACACACAACACCCTGACCTGGTTGACGTGCTTTGACTGGATTGAGGGGGATTGTCAGGCAAATGCTGCCCCTGAACTGCAAACTAACCACAATAGTTTGGTTCCCAAAACATACTGAGAAATAAACCAGCCAACCATATTTTAATCTTAAATGTGTTGTGTGAACTCGGCCATATGTTTGAAATGAGCTGAAACTTAAAGATTTAGACAACTAAACTCTCTGTCTGTATCCCAGGAAAAATTCTGTGTCTTTAGCTCAGGCCTAAATTGTTAATGCCAAATTAACTTATTGCTTACCTGGGTCTCTAAATAGTCAACAATACACTCTGAAGTTATGGTTCTAGGCAAGGAGCAAAATCAAGGAAGACGCTGAGTCCCTGAGCTTGAGAACGACAGATGCTCTTGAAAATAAATCTGAATTAAGTTGTATTATGTATTGCCTGTTCATTGTGCCTTGTAGAGCACTCCCCAGCAGGCTGCGTGAATTTCTCTGCTCAGCCTCTACCCATGATTTACCTTCCGAAGGTTTAGTTCCAACTCCCGATTCTCAGAAACCAGGGTGTTGAATTGGCCTCGTAGCTGATGCAGTTCCTGTTGTAACTTGGCACATTTTGCCTGAGAACTGCGTACCTCCGCCTTGTGCTGTTTCTCTGCCTCCGTTCTGGTGCGCTGGATTTGGCTTTCAGAGAACTTGGCCAGATTATGCAGGTGGGTTTTCAGGTCTTTGATGGTGGCATTCTTCTTGGAAATCTGGGGAGGTGGGGGGGGGAGGTTGCTCGGTCAGTTTGGAGGCTTTGTGATCAAACTCCCAAGTGCAGAATCTTTTGGAAAGACCACATGGATCCAAACTACCCTTACAATAACACGGTTGAGGATATGTGGAGTAGACATTGGCCACAGCAGTCATAGCTGAATGAGACTTGTTTGCTGAAGTGTCCTCTTACACTTCCTAAAATCATAATCATTATTAGGGCCCGGATGTCTGTTTTAAGGTGAAAAACACATCAAGACTGTAGCATAAACTCTAAAATATGCTTAACATCAGGGCTGGCCCTACCATTAAGTGAAAGAAAGCATCTGCTGTGAGTAGTGTCAGGCATCAAATTAGGGATTAAGCCCTCATCTATCACAACCACTTAATGGAATTTAAAGTGGAATTTAAATTTAATGGAATTTAAACCCTAATTCATTGGAGCAGCTTGCTACCTGCCAGCTAAGCTTGGGGCATTTTCAAAGTCAAGCATGACACGATGCTGTCTACACAGATGGCCCTGATGGGAACTGCCCCCGCCCAAAGGTAGGGAGTCCCCCCAAGAAGGCCTGATCCCACCCACTTATAGTCCACCCACGTCTCCCCAAAAGTGGTAGTGTGCCCCTAAGCCTGTGACCTAAAGGTTGCCCACCCTCATCAAAATCACCTCAGAATGAGGACAACAGAAACCTGAGTAGAAGAAAACATTCCTTGTGAGTTAGGCGGATAATCTCACACCAGTTCAGTGTGAAAAGGCATCTATCCTGAACCTGGCAATTGTGGAAAGGCAGCTCCTTAGCATTTCTATCAACAAATATAGTCAAATCTATGCTCATTCTTTTTCCTGCCTCCCACCCTGCTTTCCAAGGGAACAAAACCCAGCCCATTCTAGCAATTAAGTCTAATTTTTGACTGGCCAAGTGTACCAAGTCAGCTTCCGTCCTTAGCTCCACCACCGTACCTCCTCATCCCTGTTCTGGATGGCTGCAGTCAATTCATCTTCCAGAGCTGCCAAGGTCTCTGTATTTTTCTTCTCCCTCTGAGAGGTTTCATGCAGAAACCGTTTTTTTTCTTTTTCTTCTAGCGGGGTGGTGAGGAGTTGCTCAAAGAGGAACTCCCTCAGCTTGGAAATACTTTTAATGAATTTTTGGACAGATGGGTCTCTGGTATGAGCAATGTCTCTCAGGGCTTGACAAGCGACCGTATTGGCATAAAGCAGGCGTACAATGTTTCGGACAGAACTTTTGAGACCTTGAGCCTGCAAAGTAAGGTGACCATCAGGATCCGCGATGCCAAAGAAAGTTTCTTTACTGCTGCCTATATACAAAATATCTTCTTCCTCCAGGCGAAAGAGTGTAGCTTCCAGCATGTTTGAGAGTCGCAGATGTTCTCTGAAGGCTCCAGTGAGGTCAGGACCTAAGACGGTGCTAAACTCGTCAAGGTTCTCAAGGACATGGGAGAACACGCTGACCAGCTCCACCTTAAAGATGGTCTCATCCAAGACAGATATGATCCTCTTTGTCTCCACAGTGGTCAGTTTCGTCCGACCAGGATCCAAGATCCTTAAGGGCACTCGGAGAGTCTGCTTTTTGGAGCGGCTTGAATCGATTCGCTCATAGGATGAAAAGAGCAACTCTGTCGTCATGTTTTCTGCTGGAGAGCTTTAGATGGGGAGGCAGTTTTTGATATTTCTGACAGTGGGTTCAGATGCTTTAGCACTTCTGATGAGTTGGATTCTGAGGGGTAGGGCAGTGTAATGGGAAGAAGGAATAACCTTGAGGGACAGGAGGAAGAGTCACAACCAAGAGGTCAGATAAAAGAAATTTGAGTCCAGGGCAGACATGTAATTTGAGAAAGCATCTGAGACATGACCCTCCCTAGTTCTCACAAAGATAACGGGAGGGAGAAAGGGGAAGCACATTCAGACTTGCAAGATTCTGCTACTATAACTTTATAATAAAAGCAGTATTAGCTTGTGGGTCTTTGATTTCCAAGTCTGGTTTACCTTGGAGGGCTGACAGCCAGTGAAAGGAAATGAAATTAATCAAATGGAATTAGAGCTAGAATGTAGTTCAGTAGCTTAAAAGAGACTCTGGAGTAACCAATCAAAGTTGCTGGGAATTGGTTGGCATTGAAATTTTAATGATGATGATGATGATGCTTGAATGGCCATGAGACAGGCCAGTGTTTCTGCTCCTTAAGCTACTCAAGGTATTTATTTATCATTATTTCAATTTAAATAGGGCAACTGGGAGGAACTGGCAGGGTACACACACTATACAAAGCCATACTTTATTGGAGACCAAACAGAACCTCCAAAGTTCTGCAGAGGAGGCAGCCAGGAGCTCGGACATATGGGACTGCAGGTCTCTCGCCCTAAGCAGGGTGGTTGGGGATCATGGGAGTTAGAGCCCAAGGCATCAGGGCGGGGATGGGTGGCATATCCCCAGCTTTCTGTGCCCCAGTGCTCTGTGGATGTGTTCAGCGACAGCTTCCATATTTCTGGACTGCAGTGAGGGGGGATTATGGGATCCATAGTCTGAGATACTGGCTCAACATGGGATGGGAGTGAAACCAGCTTTCCAGACAACCCCCCCCCCACACCTCTTCCCAGGGGTTCTCTGGATGTGTCAGACTATAACTCCCATCCTTCCCAGGTGTATGTGTGGGGAAGCTTGCTGGGGATGATGGAAGTTGTAGTCCAAGGAATCTGGAGGGCAGCAGGGTGGGGAACACTGGCACAGAATTTAGGAAGGAATATTATAATACTTTAAAACGTCTGAATTGGCAACTGCTGCAGGCAAACAATAATAATATTAATAATTATTGATAATTATTAATAATATAATTCATGGAGAAAGTCTACGTGGTTACAAAGAGTCGACAATGACTTGATGGCACGTAATCAACCATAATATAATAATACAATATAATCTTATATTCTTATATAAGATTATTATCTATGATATAATAAAATAAGAATAAAATAATAAAATGAAATGCTGTAATAAAAACAGTAATGTAATAAAATATAATCGTAAAATAATGTGTATTAATGTAATATAAAACAATGTAATATAATGATATATAGTATTATTATGTAATACTGTAATGCAATAATAAAATAGTAAAGTGATATAATATCAAATGATAATTAATGATGACTACTTAATTCAATAAATTAATTAATGGCATATTCCCATTCCTTTCCCCCTTCTCCGGAAAGCAACCCGCGCGGGTGAAGCGTCGTCTTAACGTTCAAGCTCACCCGCAACCGCGAACGGCCCCTCGATCACCACGACAACGGCTTCCCTTTCCGAAGTCAAGGCCGAGGCCTCCCGTTGCCAGGCAACCCTGGCCTGCCGTGAGACGCTAACCGGCCTTATCAGGGGCGGAGCTTCACCTAGCCAATCGAAGCCCTCGTTGCTTCCACCGCGGCCGTTACGTCGGCCAAGGCTTGTCCAATAAGGGGACGGAAGCGGTCAGAGCGTCGGCGCCGTGCCCCGCCCTCCTTCCACGTGCCGCTTAAGGGAGTCAGGATAGCAAGACTTACACTTACGCTAGCTTACACTTCGGGTTGTCAGTTGACCCTAGCGGGAGGCCAAAGGAAAATACAAAACGGAAAGCGAGCGAGCTTATCGCCTGGAAGTCGTCGTGAGTTCGTGCTCCCGGGCAGGGGGCGGAGGGGGGACTGATGAATGGCGTCACTGTATCTCAATAACCTCTAGGATGGAAACGTAACACCCTTCTTTGTACACGGTGCGGGCCGGAGAACTAGTCCAAATGCCCTAATTTAGCCATATTATTTTCTTCAAGCTTTTTTTATCATCTTATGAACAGGCTACTGACACTGATAGGCGAAAGAGCGCTTATACTTCATGTATAGGACTAAATGCTGGCCACTCAAATGGCGGAACCTGGATGGGGAACCGGAACTGACAGGCAACCATGTTTCCCTATCTCTACACTCTCCTAGAGACGCCGGAAAAGGACAGGCGAACAGCGCACGCGCACTCGAGCCTCTAGGGCAAGCGGTAAGCAGGACTACTACCACAACTTCCGGATCCCAACAGGACGCTGCTGATGTGCTGAGTGGAAGCATTAATGTGGAAGAGTGGAAGAGTGGCTACCCTTCTCTCCTCCCTCCACCCCCAGTCATGCTGGCTGGGGGTGATGGCAGTTGTCGTCCAACACATCTGCAGGGCTGTGCAATGCTATCGCTGAGAACCTAACTTGCTTTATGGCCGGGGAACGGGCACAGCTAGCATTGCAAGCTTCAAAGGCATGTTTTAAAAAAATTAAGGATTAAAAATGGGATTGCAAACGTGCGAGCAGGCGTCGCTTCCTCCCGAGCAACCCCAAACAAACGGAGCCGCGCAAAGGTCTCCACCAGGCTTCGCGCCAGCGGCTCCAACGGAGCAAGCGGATCCCCCGCTGGACGCCTCCCGCAAAAGCCGGCCGGGCCAGCCCGGGGGCGTCTGAGATCCAGCCCGACGCCCCGCGCCCAGCCCCTTCGCCCACTTTTCGACCCCTTTGCAAAGCGGGGGGGGGATCCTAAAAAGCGGGACCACGTGAAGGAAGGAAGGAAGGAAGGAAGGAAGGAAGGAAGGAAGGAAGGAA